TTAGCTGGGCATGGTGAGTGGTGCCTGTAATCCCAGCTACTTGGGAGGCTGAGGCAGAAGAGTCGCTTGAACTCAGGAGGTGGAGGTTGCATAGAGCTGATATCACGCCATCGCACTGCAGCCTAAGTGACAAGAGGGAAATGCAATCTCAAAAACAAAAAGGAGTTGCAATAAAGAAAGAGTTTAATGCGTGCAGAGCTGACTAAATGTGAAACCAGAATTTTATTACTCAAGTCAGTTTCCCCCAAAATTTGAAGACTAGGGTTTTTTAAGGATAATTTGGTGGGTAGGGGGCTGGGGAGTAGGGAGTGCTGATTGATCAGGTCAGAGATGAAATTATAGGGGCTCAAACAGGTTCTTCTTGCTGTCTTCTGTTCCTGGGTGGGGTTGCAGAACTACTTGTGCCAGATTACTCGTCTGGGTGGCACCAGCTGGTCTATCAGAATAGAGGGTCTGAAAAATATCTCAAATACCAAACTTAAGTTTTACAATAGTGATGTTATCCAGAGGAGCAATTGAGGAGTTTGGGGATCTTGTGGGCTCTGCCTGCATGACCCCTAAACCATAATTTCTAATCTTGTGCCTAATTTGTTAGTTTTATAAAGGCAGTCTGGTCCACAGGCAAGGAGGGGTTTTGTTTCAGGAAAGAGCTGCTATCATCTTTGTTTCAAAGTTGAACTGTAAACTGAATTTCTCCTACGCTTAGTTCGGCTATGCCCAGGAATGAACAAGGGCAATTTAGAGATTAGAAGCAAGATAAATCAGATATCTTTCACTGTCATAATTTGCTCACTGTTGTAATTTTTGCAAAGGTGGTTTTATAATGACACAAATGGAGGGTCTTTTCCTACAAAATATATGCTCTTAACCACATTAGACAGTAGACTATCCCCCTGTCTCACCTGTCTTCTGTGTACAATTTACATAGGTAAAAGGTCCAGCACATGTTGGGGAATTTAATGTTTTTTCTAGTTAGCAAGTGCCCAAGTCAAATGCCTGGGTCTCTAAATGCTTCTCTCAGGGGTCTCAAACACAGCTGTACCTACAGGCCAGGGAAGTAATGAGAATGAGCGAGGCTGGGCATGTCTGAGGAAAATGGGAACAGTAGGAATGGTGGGCCTATCTAAAGGGGCAGCACTTTCTCCCACCCAGCATCTTGTTGCCTGGTGGGATTGTGTGCCCATCATGGCCAGGGTCTCTCACTATCATAAGTTAAGTTGGCAGTGTGGATTTTTATGTGAAATTGTCCAGCTTTAAATATTGGCAACTAATTAGAAAATGTGTTTAGTACTATGTGGATCAACATTGTGTGGGTGAATCACAACACTCCTGAAGACCTGGCTGGGTGCAATGGTTCACACTTATAATCCCAGCACTTTGGGAGGCTGAGGCAGGCAGATCACCTGAATCCAGGAGTTTGAGGCCAGCCTGGGCAGCGTGGTGAAACAAAATATGCAAAAAATACAAAACTTAGCCAGGTGTCGTGGTACGTGCCCGTAGTTTTCGCTGCTGAGGTGGCTGAGGCAGGAGGATTGCTTGGGGCCAGGAAGTTGAGGCTGCAATGAACCTTGATCACGCCACTGCACTCCAGCCTGGGTGATAAAGTGAGACCCTGTGTCAAAAACAAAAACACAACTGAAGACCGATTCTGCCCCCACCTTCCTTCCCTTGCAGCCCTATTGGTGACATTCCTCTCTGCCCTGCTAATCACCTTTGGAGGAGACACATAGTAAGGGTTCAGGAAATACTGCGAGGAAAGAGAAGCTGGCTTTTTCCTCTGCCCTGGTCTCTTGACTTGAGACCAGAACTTCAATTTCATTCAACAGATTGGATTCAATATTTGCCAAAACTATGCTCAAAATAAAGCATAGAAAAATTTTTGGAAGATATTTTATTTTTTTTCAGTGTACTTTAGTACTGTCCTCCTGTTCACTTAGTGAATCATGTGATCTTATTCTGTGTACCTCACTTGTCTCCCAAAGAGAAGTAATTATTGATGTCTTCACTAACCTTTTGCAATAACTTTTTTTTTTTGAGATGGAGTCTTGCTCTGTTGCCCAGGTTGGAGTGCAATGTCATGATCTCGGCTTACTGCAACCTCCACCTCCTGGGTTCAAGTGATTCTCCTGCTGCAGCCTCCCGAGTAGCTGGGATTACAGGGGCCCATCACCACGCCTGGCTAATTTTTTATTTTTAGTAGAGACAGAGTTTTACCATATTGGTCAGGAGGGTCTCAAACTCCTGACCTCAGGTGATCCACCTGCCTCAGCCTCCCAAAGTGCTGGGATTACAGGCATGTGCCACCGCGCCTGGCCTGCAAAACATTTTCATGGAGAAAATTATGTAAGAATTTTTAAAAAGCTGGGAAGACACATAGCAGAGTTAGGGCCATGTTGATTCACACTTCAATCCCAGCACTTTGGGAAACCAGAGCTGGAGGATCACTTAAGCTCAGGAGTCTGAGAACAGCCTGAGTAATATAGCGAGACTCCCATCTCTATAAAAAATACAAAAATTAGCCTAGCTTGCTGGTGTGTCCTGTAGTCCCAGCTACTTGGGAAGCCAAGGTGGAAGGAATGCTTGAGCCTGGGAGGTTGAGTGTGCAGTGAGCCAAGACAGCGCCACTGCACACTGGTGTGGGCGACAGGGTGAGACCCTTTCTCAAAACAAACAAACAAAAGATACAGAGAAGACCATTGCATGACATATCCAGTATATTTGGATCTTCAGATTGCTGTACTTGATCATTTGTGTACCTAAAATTCAATTAATGGTGCAATAAACTGTAAAAATTATTAATAGGGATGGTATAGATGGCTTTCCTGTTGCTGTGTTGGTTTCATTATGTGCAGCCATTCCCAGGGTCTAATCAGATGGAATAAATGGAGAACTAACATGCCTTGGCAAACTAAAGCCAAAAGAAAAATCAACACAACCCAAGGTGGTATCTGGGCCAGGTGCAGTGGCCCAATTGCCTGTAATCCCATCATTTTGGAAGGGTGAGATGGGTGGATCTATTGAGCTCAGGAGTTCAAGACAAACCTGAGCATCATGGCAAAATCCCATCTCTACAAAAACAAAACAAAACAAAAAAAGCTTAGCCTGGCGGCCGGGTGTGGTGGCTCATGTCTGTAATCCCAACACTTTGGGAAGCAGAGGTGTTGGATCACAAGGTCAGGAGTTGGAAACCAGCCTGACCAATATGGTGAAACCCCATCTCTACTAAAAATACAAAAATTAGCTGGGCATGATGGCACATGCCTGTAGTACCAGCTACTCGGGAGGCTGACGCAGGAGAGAATTGCTTGAACCCAGGAGGCAGAGGTTGCAGTGAGCTGAGATCACTCCACTGCACTCCAGCCTGGGCAACAGAGTGAGACTTTGTCTCGAAAAAAAAAAAAAAAATAGCCTGGGATGGTGGTGCACGCTTGTAGTCCCAGCTACTCAAGAGATTGAGGTAAGAGGATGGCTTGAGCCCAGGAGGCAGAGGTTGCAGTGAGCTGAGATTGTGTCACTGCACTCCAGCCTGGGTGACAGAGTAAGACCCTGTTTAAAACAACAACAACAACAACAACTTGTCAATGTTTTGCCCATAATATATTTGTAGTAATTTGTGTGTGTGTGTGTGTGTGTGTATGTGTGTGTGTGTATGTGTGTGTGTGTTGAGACAAGAGTCTCAGTCTGTCCTCAAGGCTGGAGTGTGGTGGTGTGATCTCAGCTCACTGAAACCTCCACCTCCCGGGATCCAGTGATTCTCCTGCCTCAGCCTCCTGGGTAGCTGGAACTGCAGGCGCCGGACACCACGCCTGGCTAATTTTTTTGTGGTTTTAGTAGAGATGGTGTTTCATCATGTTGATCAGGCTGCTCTCAAATTCCTGACCTGAGATGATCCACCTGCCTCAGCCTCCCAAAGTGCTGGGATTACAGGCATGAACCACTGTGCCCAGCTGTGTGTTCTTTCAATTGACATATTTGGATATATTTATCGGGTGCAGTGTGATCTTTTGATATATGTATGCATTGTGGAATGATTATATCAAGCAATGAAAATATCCAGCTGGGCTCAGTGGCTCACACCTGTCTGTAATCCCAGCACTTTGGGAGGCTGAGGTGGGGGGATCATGAGTCAAGAGATTGAAACCAGCCTGGCCAACATGGTGAAAACCTATCTCTACTAAAACTACAAAAATTAATTGGGTGTGGGGGCGTGCACCTGTAGTTCCAGCTACTCGGGAGGCTGAAGCAGGAGAATCGCTTGAACTCAGGAGGTGGAGGTTGCAGTGAGCCAAGATGGCGCCACTGCACTCCAGCCTGGTGACAAAGTGAGATTCCATCTCAAAAAAAGAAAAGAAAATATGCATCACCTCACATACTTACCATTTTTTTTTTGTAGTGAGAAAATCTACTGTTATTCTTTTAGTAATTTTGAAATGTGCAATACATTATTATCAACTATGATCACCATGCTGTGCAATAAATCTTGAAAACATATTCCTCCTAACTGAAACTTTGTACCTTTTGACCAACATCTCCCAGGTGATCATTTTTGACTTGCAAACTACCTATTCCATTTAAATGAAAGGGAAAGCAACACTAGTATCTTCAAAAATTGAAAAGCAAACTGTGCATAAAAAAAAGAAAGATCCTTTTGTCTCCATATTTTAGTATTATGAGGTCATGTTGGATAAATATTCTGAGAGAAATTTGTGTTTTATTGCACACAAAAGAAAACTGGACACAATAATATAGGATATAAAATTAAGAATTGGCCTTTAACGATCGTTTGTAGCTTGTGATGTGGTTAAATCTTGATGTCGTTTGGTCTTGTCCTTATATGTGCATTGACTGCATGAAAATCAATTTATAAACACTCGTATGTAATTCAGTGTAATCCATTTAAGACAGGTCACATGGAGGGTCAACTGGAGATTTGGCTTTTCACCCACTTTCCCCCACAGCACAAATAACTTTTCCTTGAATTGTTGGATATGCCATTTTAGTGATCAAGGGAGGACCCCTGGAACACAACTACCGATTGAAGCAGTTCCATTTTCACTGGGGAGCCATCGATGCCTGGGGCTCCGAGCACACTGTGGACAGCAAATGCTTCCCAGCAGAGGTATGTTGAGACGGTCAGGAACAGTGACAATAGAAGAGAAGAGGGGATAATTCTGAAGTTGTAGTTTTAAGAAATTATCAGAAAGAATCAGGTGATTCCTATAAATGCTAAATAGCTTTCTCAGGCAATTTTGATCATTCTCAGCTAAGACATGTAAAAATGTTAACTTCTCTCATCTCAAATAATATAGCTGAAATGAACCTTAGGACCCTGAAACTGAATTCTTCTGGAATTCGAAGGTGGACTCAAATAGTAGCCCAAAGTAATAACCTAGGGAATGTTTCGGAGCCACAGGTTGAATTAACGCAAGTTTACGATGGTAGGAGCCTAAATAAAGGCTGTGGCAATAGAAGTAGAAAAAAAGATCCAGATTTATCAAGCATTTCTGAAATTAAAGCAACAGTACTTTAGGTAGGGTTCTCTTCAGGATAGGAGAAGGCAAAATTAACCATGACTTTGTGGTGTCTCACTTGGGAGGCTGGGTGATAATGCATTCATAAGTGATGGATGAGAAATGATTTGTAGGGAAATAAAGGGAGATTTTAAGGAAATAGAATTTCTTCTTACAACTTTTTTCCTAATTCAGTTGTAAATGTGATGTTAAAAATAAAAGCACATTTAAAAATTTATTTTATATTTATTTTGTTTTGTTTTGTGAGACAGGGTCTCACTGTGTCACCCAGGCTGGAGTGCAGTGGCACAATCACAGCTCACTGCAGCCTCTATCTTAAGCAATCCTTCCACCTCAGCCTCCCAAGTAGCTGAGACTACAGGCAGGCACCACCATGCCCTGCTAATTTTTAAATTTTTTTGTAGAGAGACAGGGTTTCACTATGTTGTCCAGGCTGGTCTCAAACTCCTGAGTTCAAGTGATTCTCCCACCTCGGCCTCCCAAAATTCTGAGATTACAGGTGTGAGCCACCACACCTAGCCTAAAAATACATTTTATTTTATTTATTTTTATTTATTTATTGAGACAAAGTCTTGCTCTGCCACCAGGCTGGAGTACAGTGGTACAATCTCGGCTCACTGCAATCTCCGCCTTCTGGGTTCAAGAGTTCTCCTGCGTCAGCCTCCCAAGTAGGTGGGATTACAGGTGTGTGCCACCAAGCCCAGCTAATTTTTGTGTTTTTAGTAGAGACGGGGTTTTACCCTGTTGGCCAGGATGGTCTCGATCTCTTGACCTTGTGATCTGCCCGCCTTTGTCCCCCGAAGTGCTAGGATTACAGGCATGAGCCACAGTGCCCAGCGAAAGCACATTTTATTTATTTATTTATTTTTTGAGACGGAGTTTGGCTCTTGTTACCCAGGCTGGAGTGCAATGGCGCGATCTCGGCTCACCGCAACCTCCGCCTCCTGGGTTCAGGCAATTCTCCTGCCTCAGCCTCCTGAGTAGCTGGGATTACAGGCACGCGCCACCATGCCCAGCTAATTTTTTGTATTTTTAGTAGAGATGGGGTTTCACCATGTTGACCAGGATGGTCTCGATCTCTTGACCTCGTGATCCACCCGCCTCGGCCTCCCAAAGTGCTGGGATTACAGGCTTGAGCCACCGCGCCCGGCCGAAAGCACATTTTAAATGGTTATTCCTTGAAGAAGAAATTTGTCTTTAACTCCTGCATAATTTCCATAGGGAGGATCTGTTTCTCTCAATATAAACATCTTCTCTGCTGTAGATGCAAGTGGATTTTGAATATTGGTGTTTCATGCAAATCAAGATGGAACTGGACAAATGTTGATTGCTCACTGAAGTGTCACTTTGCTATAAGAATTTTCTATTTTTCTCCCCAAATAAATCCTTTTATTCTAAAATAAAATTAATTGCTGCTCTTGCCTAAATTTCTCCCTGATCTTTGTTTCTATCTCATTTTGCACCAGATTGTCATATGCTTTTCTCAGTGGCTTTACTTTGGGTGAGGAAACATGTTTAAATGTCATAGGTTGACTGAAGCTGTGGGTTTATTCTGGAGAGAGAACCTGTGTAGTCACGTGTTAACCCTCTTTTCATGGTGTTTCAGCTGCACTTAGTGCATTGGAATGCAGTCAAATTTGAAAACTTTGAGGATGCAGCACTGGAAGAAAATGGTTTGGCTGTGATAGGAGTATTTTTAAAGGTAAAAAAATCTCACCAGCTTTAAATGATGTATTGTATTCTAGAATGAAGAGATGGAATATTGTAATATTATTTACTTTAAGAATGTTGGGATTTATATACTGGTAAGATAAATAGTACTTGAAATACAGGATTGTTAAGAATATATTTTAGGTCCAGGCATGGTGGCCCATGCCTGTAATCCCAGCACATTGGAAGGCTAAGGAGGGCAGATCATTTGAGGTCAGGAGTTCGAGACCAGCCGGGCCAAAGTGGGGAAACCCTGTTTCTACTAAAAATACAAAACTTAGCTGACCATGGTGGTGCACACCTGTAATCCCAGCTACTTGAGAGGCTGAGGCAGGAGGACTGCTTGAGCCTGGGAGGCGGAGGCTGCAGTGAGCCAGGATTGTGCCACTGCACTCCAACCTGGGTGACATAGCAAGACTCCATTCCCCCAATCAAAATAATATAGTTTAAATGGTATAAAAATACACAGTCCAACAGAGTGGTCACAATCCACATGTGGCAGCCGAGCACTGGAAATGTGTCTAACTGCAATTGTGGAACTATTTTTTATTTTATTTAATTTTAATTTCAATTTAAGAACTGATACTTAAATGAGGCCGGGCGAGGTGGCTCAAGCCTGTAATCCCAGCACTTTGGGAGGCCGAGGCGGGTGGATCACGAGGTCAAGAGATCGAGACCATCCTGGTCAACATGGTGAAACCCCATCTCTACTAAAAATACAAAAAATTAGCTGGGCATGGTGGCACGTGCCTGTAATCCCAGCTACTCAGGAGGCTGAGGCAGGAGAATTGCCTGAACCCAGGAGGCGGAGGTTGCGGTGAGCCGAGATCGTGCCATTGCACTCCAGCCTGGGTAACAAGAGCGAAACTCCGTCTCCAAAAAAAAAAAAAAAAAAGAACTGATACTTAAATGAAGCAGGGGGCACCTTTCTCTGCAGGCATGCTGACCTTGTCAGCAAACAGCCTGCTCATTTATTCTCTAATTTAATTCAGTGAGGTTTATAAAATTATAAATTACAAGTTTAAGTGTAGTTTCAGTCATGCAGTTTCTTTTTATGTAATCACCAGGTGGTTAATTTTAATTCACATTCTGTCACAGTTTCTACAGTGAGATGTCCATTGTTTGTAATATTTTATTTGTTGTTCCTTAGCTAGGCGAACATCATAAAGAGCTACAGAAATTAGTGGATACTTTGCCATCAATTAAGCACAAGGTACTATTTGTTTTCCTTAATTACTTGAAATATACTTTTATGTTTCAATCTCAGAGCAGAGACATTACCAAGGCACTTAAATTGGGAAGTTTAATTAAGTGAACTGTATTTGGCCTTAAAAGAAAACTTGCCATTTATGATTCCAGGGGACAAAAGTAGTAATTCTGTGGGTGGGCAGTGAGCTTTCTGGTTTTGCTGCAGTGCCACTGAGGACTTGGGGCCTCAGGGGCATATGTCCCTGTCCCTTCCTGGGTTCCCGACACCGGCTCCTTCTAAGTCCTTGTGAACACACCCAGAGCAGCCTTCTTTTCTCTAGCTGCCCTCCCACAGGCAGGGAGCAGAGAGCAATTCTACAGAAACTTGCCTTGTCCAGCTGGAAAGAACAGTAATCCACATCCTTCAGGTTGGATGCCTTTGTCCAGCCCCCCACGATTAATTCTTCAATATTCAGATTTCCAAAGGGCTACTCTCTGGAGGCCCATGTATTCTCTCCCTCTCTCTCTCATCCCCCACTGTATCCCTATGGTCCCCACCTCTTTCCCTCTCCTTTCCTCTCTGGAAGCCCATATATTATTTCTCCCTATCCTCCACTCTCTCCTTCCGGTCCCTACCTCTTTCCCTCTCCTTTCCTCTCTATTTCCCTCTTTTTCTCTCTCTTGCCTTTTAATTCAGGATTCTGGCTCCTCCTGATCTGCATTTCTTCTTAAAAGGACAATTCTCAGTTAGCCTCTCTTGAAAATGCAAAGCCTCCTTCTTTATGCATTGGCCACTGTCTAAAACCTCCTAAGAAAATTCAGAGGAGACTACCTGCTGGATCCTCACTAGAATTGAGAGATCAGATGGTTTTGGCTGTTTTCCCACTGGAGAATTTAAAAAATACACAGTTAATTGCAGAAACAAAGCCTAGGCGTGATTCCATCCTAAGCAGCAATGCTTCAGGAAGCTGCCTAGAAGGGCCTGGAGCTCCTCTGGACCACTGCTGATCCCCAGACACACCCTGAGAACCATCACCTGTTGTCTGATTCCTGAGTGGTTTACTAAATAATGACTTACTTATCTCTTCCTTGGCCAGGACACCCTTGTGGAATTTGGATCATTTGACCCTTCTTGCCTGATGCCTACCTGCCCAGATTACTGGACCTACTCAGGGTCTCTGACTACTCCACCCCTCTCTGAGTCTGTCACCTGGATCATTAAGAAGCAGCCAGTAGAGGTTGATCATGATCAGGTACGTTCTCTCTATAATTTCAATCTAAGAAAATCTTTGCCCATTTAAAACAAGGCTGGGTTCAGACTGTGGCATCAGTTTTAACATCTTGTAATGCTTATACATTTTTATTAAAGTGTACCAATATCTTGTCTCAGTTTGGATATGAATTTGGGGATGTTTCAAATTAACTAGAGCGAAGAGTTAAAACACAGAAGAACATAAGCTTTTTACATCTATATCTGACAATTACATATGTCTTCTTATGCCTTTTGTATTTTATATATAAATATTAAACTTTATACAAAATCAAGACTCTTTTAAAGGGAAGAATGAAGGCTGGAAATAAATGTGTTCAAAACTCTTTAAAATCCTTAAGGGAGTTCTACTGTAGAATCTCAGGATAAATATGGAATCCAACAATGTTTGTCCAGAAACTTTAATTTAAGTCAGTTTTGTGAACTTGTAGTTACTATGCAAATACTCAAAATCCTGTATAATGTATAATATAGCTAAACTACAATAATATTTGCTCATACATGCCTTATGGGATTTTTATTGATTACAAAGCATTTTCATAAGAACAAAAGCTTCCAAATTCTTCTTATGAAGCCAGCATAACTGATACCAACACTCACCAAAGCTTGGATCCCCCTCTGAAGAATATATATATATATAAAAAGCTAAAAAAAAATATTAGAAACAGAATCCAGCAGTATATCAGAAGAAATATATACTTTGTCCAAGTAGCTTTTACTCCAGTAATACAAGAATGGTTCATTTTTAAGATGATATTAATACAATTTATTGTATCAGTGGATCTAAACAGAAAAATCATATTATCATTTCCAGGGAACTTAAAAAGACATTTGTAAAAATCACCATTCAGTTTTTGAAAATGTTTAATAAAACAGAGCTGAATAGAGACTTTCCTATCTTAATGAAAGATATTGATCTCAGTTCAAAAGTAAATAGTAGGTTTTGTATGGAAAGGATTATTACCATATTAAGTTTTATATTAAATTACATTCTGGAAGTAGCCAGGACAGTTAGACCAGAAAATAAAAAATAAATTAGAGAAACAATAAAAAACTACTATAAAAATCAGAGATAATTCAGTAATCAGTGGAGTACAATATTAATTTCAACAAGGAAAGTTAATAAAAAAACGTAAAATGTTCCTGGAGGATACAAAGAAGTCTTGAATTAATAAAGTTAACACATTACAGGATCAAAAGACATCATAAAGACACCTCTTTTGTCATAAATGAAAACCTAATTTGTTATTCTCCATGAGCTGTTTATTTGCCATGAATTTTATGTGTTTCCAATAAATATACCAATAGGATTTTAAAATCAATAAGCTATTTCTAAACTCATGAATAAAGACAAACACATAAATAACCAGGGAAAATCCTAGAAACGGAAATAAGGGATGATTAGACTCACAAGTTTATAATCCTCAATAATTAAAAAGCATGTTACTGGCACATGGATAAAGAGATCAATCAAGGGAAGTATATTAGTCAGAGTTCTTTAGAGAAATAGAGCCAATAAGATAGATACTGTATTAGTCCATTTTCACACTGCTACAAAAAACTACCTGAAACTGGGTAATTTATGAAGAAAGGAGGTTTAACTGACTCGTGGTTCCACAGGCTTAACAGGAAGCATGGCTGGGAGGCCTCAGGAAACTTAAAATCATGGCAAAAGGCAAAAGGGAAGCAAGGACCTTCTTCACATGGTGGCAGGAGAGAGCGGGAGAGATGGGGGAAGTGCCACTCACTTTTAAACCATCAGATCTTGTAAGAACTTTCACTATCACAAGAATAGTAAGGAGGAAGTCCACCCCCACAATCCAACACCTCCCACCAGGCCCCTCCACTGGCATGGGGTGGAGGGGATTACAATTTGACATGAGATTTGGGTAGGGACACCGGGCCAAATCATATCAGATATAGATAAAGATAAATTAAAAAAAAAAAAGAAAGAAAAAGTTAAAGTTAGATAAATAACCCTAAAAAGGTTAAATAACCCTAACCCTGTAACCCTATAAAGATAAATAAAGGAAAAGTTAGATAAAGAAAAAGTTTTATCATAAGGTATTGGCCATGTGATTATGGAGACTAAGAAGTCTTACAATCTGCCATGTGCAAGCTGGAGACCCAGGAAAGACAGTGGTGTAGTTCAAAGGCCTGAGAGCTGGAGAGCTGATAATGTAGATTTCTATCTTGGTCTGAAAGCCTGAGAACCAGGACCTCCAAAGGTAGGAGACGATTGATGTTCCAGCTCAAATATTCAGAGCAAATTCAACCTTCCTCTGCCTTTTTATTCTATTCAGACCCTCAGTATATTAGATGATTCCCATCCACTTTGGGGAGGGCCATTTACTTTACTCAGTCCACCTATTCAAAGCTTAATCTCCTCCATAAACACCTTCATAGACATACATAGACCTAGTATTTAACCTGTCTGTGTATCCTATGGCCCAATCAAGTTGACACATAAAATTAACCATCACAGGAAGAAAATAATAATTTCAGAAATATGTCCAAGGCCGGGCACGGTGGCTCAAGCCTATAATCCCAGCACTTTGGGAGGCTGAGGCGGGTGGATCACGAGCTCAAGAGATCAAGACCATCCTGGTCAACATGGTGAAACCCCGTCTCTACTAAAAATACAAAAAATTAGCTGGGCATGGTGGTGAGTGCCTGTAATCCCAGCTACTCAGGAGGCTGAGGCAGGAGAATTGCCTGAACCCAGGAGGCGGAGGTTGCGGTGAGCCGAGATCGCGCCATTGCACTCCAGCCTGGGTAACAAGAGCGAAGCTCCGTCTCAAAAAAAAAAAAAACAAAAGAAATATGTCCAAATAAATTTGATAAATATAGCATCTCAACTCAGTAGGCAGGAAAGATACAGTATTCAGTAAATGCTGTTGAAGAAAAATTGAGCAGACATTTGGGGATAAAAATTGGATCCACCATTCAGACCTTATACAAGAATACATTCCAGATATATGTAAAAACTATCACTATAAAAGTACTAGGATAAGCACAGGAAAATCCTTTTATACCTGCAAATGTGTAGGCTTTGTGGCCTATACATTTAGTCTGTTTCTATTCTTTGGATTAAAACATTGACACATTTCCTCGACTTATATTCCTTTTAGAAAAACAAATGAACATAACATTGAAAAATAAATAAAGTAAATACATCACAGGGTCAGTGGTTCATATGAGGATTTTGTAAATAAAATTTCAGCAAAACTTTAAAATTTATTTTTCAATTATATAATTTCAAATTTTATTTTTTATTTTCTGGTCTAACTGTATTGGCTATTTCCAGAATGTAATTTAATACGAAACTTATGGTAACAGAAAATTTAGTAAGGAAAATAATGCTACTTGTCATCTATAATATTATCCTATTGCCTATAATTTTACCACTCTCATTGTTTGGGGAAATTCTTCTGGTCTCCTGTCTATCCAGATGCACTTGAATCCTTCTGGTCATACACACACACACACACACACACACACACACACACACAGTTTTTGTATGAAAATGGAATCATTCAGTACATACCATTTTGCTGCTCTTTTCACTCGTGATGCGTGGAATATTTTATAAAGAATGAACATCTTCAGTATTATTTTTAAGGACTATATACTAGTTCATTTCATAGATCAGATGTCATTTATCTTTGATATTTAAGCTATTTCTAATCTTCTGCAATTAGCTGAATAAAAAGAAGCATTACTTGTATAGCTTCCTAATTAGTGAGAACTTATGTGTAATTTGCAAGAACAGCCACTGTGTGATAGTGCATTGCTTGCTTTCAGTCCTAGTTCAGCTGCTTCAGCTCTACTTGGCTTGAAGTCTTTGTTGCAAATGACCCTTCACTTGCTTGTCTACTGTGCCCCAGGTTGTATTCTCAGTTGTTACAATGAGGCAGATTGAATGAGGGAGAATGTAGTGAATGGATTTTCCTACAGGCCTGAAGTAAAGTATTTCTTCCCCCGCCCCCCCACCTACCCTCACCCCCCAGTTTCACTTTTGTTTCCCATGCTGGAGTCCAGTGGTGTGACTCAGTAGCTGGGATTACAGGCATGCACCACCATGCCCAGCTAATTTTGTATTTTTAGTAGAGATAGGTTTCACTATGTTGGTCAGGCTGGTCTCAAACTCCTGACCTCAGGTGATCCACCCACCTCGGCCTCCCAAAGTGCTGGGATTACAGGCGTGAGCCACTACGCCTGGCGTAAGTAAAATATTTCGTAACAATTGGGTCTGAAACCAAGGGACTACTGGTTGATACCGCTGCCATATCACAGAACAAGCCGTTGATATTCTGGGTTGCTCCTTTTGCATTGAGCTATACTGTCTCATATTGTAGCCACTGGACACATGTAACCATTTACATTTAGATATAAGTACATTAAATGTAAATTTCAGTTCCTCAGTTGCACTGGCCACATTTCAAGTGCCCAGTAGCCATATGTGGCTTGTGACTACTGTAATGGACCATGCAGAATTTCCGTCATTGCAGAAAGTTCTGTTGGACAGCACAAGCACAGAGCATCCCGTCTCCAGTTAAGACATCTACATGCAGCCTGGTGTGGTAGCTGATGCCTGTAATCCCAGCACTTTGGGAGATCTAGGTAGGAGGATCACTTGAGGCCAGGAGTTCAGGACCAACCAGGTCAACATAGCGAGACCCTGTCTCTACAAAAAATTAGAAAATTAGCTGGGCGTGGCGGCATGTGCCTATAATCCCAGCTACTTGGGAGACTGAAGCAGGAAATCACTTGAGTCCCAGAGTCTGAGGCTACAGTGATCACACCACTGCACTGTAGCCAGGGTGACAGAGTAAGACTGTGTCTTAAAAAAAAAAAGACATCAGTATGCATTGCTTTGCCCACACTACCCAGGTGCAGTGAGCAATCAATAATACATGTTTTATGTTAATGAGTCAGTTAAATTTTTTTTAAACCTACTTATTTTTGGTGTTTTTAGTATATGCATCAGGCCTTTCCTTTCTCATTCTGTAAGGTGGCTATTTTGCTCATTTGAAAAGGAGGTTCTTGAGAATGAAAGAGATGAATGAACTCATCCTTGGTAAATGGATAATATGTAGGGACAGGGCCTTTGCCGGAGGTCGTTGGATCCAAAGTGCCCTCCTGGTTTCACCACCTCCTGCTGCTCTCCTCCCCACAGGACCACCATCAGGATCATCACCACCCCCGGGCATTTTATTCCCTGTCAAGTGGTGAAGGCATTCTTACCCAGAAATAACTTCTCCTTCTGTATCTAATTTGAGACAAATGCTTCAGAATTGTAAAAACGAAAGTAATTTATTCACGAGGTAAAGCAGGTTTTCTATTGAAATTATTCATGCTTTCTGTTTCTATTTCTAGCTTGAGCAATTTCGGACCCTGCTTTTCACTTCCGAGGGGGAGAAAGAGATAAGAATGGTGGACAACTTCCGTCCCCTTCAGCCACTGATGAATCGCACTGTCCGTTCATCCTTCCAGCACGATTATGTGCTGAATGTACAAGCGAAACCCAAGCCGACGACCAGCCAAGCAACCCCCTAAAACGTTCATACCTAGGCAGTATTTTGCCTTTGCTTTAATATATACTAGCTTACTAAAAATTGTTAACTAGACTATTCTAAATACCTGTATTTGATAATATTTAGAAATGTGCATTTCTTAGCATGTGAGTGCTTCATCAGTCTTTAAGCAAAGCTATTCGGTACCAGCAAGAGACACAAGTTTCTCTTACAGCTACCTGTTGGTAATTGTAATGCCTTTTTTTTTTTTTTTTTCAGACTAGGTCTCGCTTTGTTGCCCAGGCTAGAATGCAGTGGCCCAATGACAGCTCACTGCAGCCTTGAACTCCTAGGCTCAAGCAGTCCTCCTGCCTTAGCCTCTGCAGTTGCTGGGGCTACAGGTGCTGACCACCTAGCCCGGCTTGCAGTATCTTTTTATATCTGACATTTTTGAGCTATCTTTTTATGTTTATCCATTAGTGGTTCTATAGTGCTATACATAGGGATTATAATAAAAATTTTTAACAAGTGGTAAGGCATAGACATTGACCAGAACTCAGGCCTTTCAGAAATAGCCTGTGGGCCCAGACTGGTACTTCCTGGCTGAACATGAGTCATGGTTTAGGTGTATTTTATTTCATAACATGAATGTGTATTCTTTCATAAGGGCTTCTCAATGAGTATATTTGCCCCAGTCTTTAATTGTTATAAGGACACGATATGTTTACTTACTATTAATTTATGATGTAGAAAAACAAGGACTTTTTCTATATCCAGAAATACCTTTGCACTTCTGAAGATCAGAGATTTTACTTAAAGGTCTGATCATATAGAAAATACATGCAGAACATTTTAAAGAAAATGCGTGGCCAGGTGCGGTGGCTCATGCCTGTAATCCCAGCGCTTTGGAAGGCTGAGGCGGGTGGATTACTTGATGTCAAGAGTTCGAGACCAGCCTGGCCAACATGATGAAACACTGTCTCTACTAAAAATATAAAAATTAGCTGGGCATGGTGGTAGACATCTGTTAATTCCAGCTACTCAGGAAGCTGAGGCTAGAGAATCGCTTGAACCCAGGAGGCAGAAGTTACAGTGAGCCAAGATCGTACCATGCACTCTAGCCTAGGTGACAGAGTGAGACTCCATTATGCCTAATAAAAATAAAAAAAAGAAAGAAAAAAGAAAACGCTAAAAGTACCTAGAACTTAGAATTCTTTCATTGTACATTTCCAGAAATATTTTTCAAAGGTCTAGTAATCTAATAGCCTATAGTTTATAATATTATTTTGTATTATTTGCACACTGTTACATAGTATATAATGATAATGTTTTCCACAGTAAAAAAGGTATCCTTTCTGAATTTACCACTGTCTGAACTTTATTTACCCATTAGTCAAGGTTCTTTGCAAGGCAGTTGATCAACTTAAATCTCTCAGTTTATACAGTAGTTTAGAAGACTTTTATTATGGTCAGAGGGAGAGAAACTTGTCAGATAGATAGGCTAAAATCTAGATGTCCTTGTTGCTGTTGCTTATCTTGGAATGTTTCCAAATGTCTCTAAGCCTATGTTCTGACTCAGTGTTGCATCAATAACTGTTAGTATTTCTTTCATTAATGTGTCAGTCATCTCTGGTCTGCAAGATAGGGCTGGATAATATACTTAACACTACTGAACTGTACACTTAAAGATGGTTAGGAAGGAAATGGGACTACATCAGATTTAAAACTTTCTGTGTGTCAAAGGAAGCAATCAACCAAGTGAAAAAGCAAACTCTAGAGTGAGAGAAATAATTGCAAATCATGTATCTTATAAAGAGCCCAAATCCAGAATATATGAGGAACTTCTATAACACAACAACAAGAAAACCAAATAATTTTTAAAAATGGGCAAAGGACTAGCATAGACATTTCTCCAAAGAAGATATACAAATGGGCAATAAGAATATGAAAAGATGCTCAATATTGCTAATTATTAGGGAAATGCAAATCAACACCACAATGAGATATCACATCTCACGCCCATGATGATGGCCACTATAAGAAGTACAAAAAAATAACAAGTGTTGGGGCGGATGCAGAGAAACGGAATCTCTTGTGCACTGTTGGTGGTCATGTAAAATGGTGCAGTCATCATGGAAAAGAGTACACAGGTTTCTCAAAGAACTGAAAACAGTATTACCATAAGAATTGCCACCAAAGTGGGATCTCAAAGAGATATTTGTACATCCATGTTCATAGCAGCATTATTCACAATAGCCAAGAGGTTCTGGAAGCATCCCAAATGTCCATCAACAGATGAATGGATAAAGAAAATGTGGCATATATGTTAAACAGAATATTATTCAGCTTTAAAAAGAAGGAAGTACTGTCAAGTGTACAATGTAGATGAACCTTGAAGGCATTATGTCAAGCGAAATAAGTCAGTCACAGAAGAACAAATACTGTATGATTCCTCCACGTGAAGTATCCAAAGTAGTCAAAATCATACAATAGAAAGTAGAAAGGTGGTTACTAAGGGCCGGGGGAAGGAGAGAGGGCGAATTTGTATTTAGTGGGTATACAGCTTGTGTTGCAAGAATTCTAGAGATCTATTGCAAAGCAGTGTGATTATACTTAACACTACTGAACTGTATACTTAACATGATTAAGATGGTGTATTTAAAAAAATAATTAAGATGGTTACTTTTATATTTGTATTTTACCACGTTAAAAGTAAAAAATTAATTTCCTAGAGAAAAAAAGATAGCGCTGGAGTTGCACGTATAAGTTTGAGAAGTATCTTTTAACAAGGGGGAAATGTGAAGGCTTTTGCATATATGCCGTAGGAAACGCCGAAGATTCTTAAAAAGGTAAACGTGGTATAAAATGAAATCTTTGTTAACTTTCTGCAGTTCACCTGTTTCAAAGTATAGTTACCTTTAAAAGAGTAAACACAAAAGACATGCATTTTCCAGAGCACACAGGCTTTCCTCCAACTGCCTTGTGAAACAATCGGTGCAAAACCCTGCTGCGGCGAGTTTTCCAAATTGAAGGGAAAAGTAATGTACAGAATGCCTGACTTGCCCTCCTCATTGCATCTTATACCTGATGTTCTGGTGTGATTATTAACCACACTCTTTCACTTTGAACAGTGTCCTGGTTTGCATGGCCACCTTCCCTGCAGCGGAGACAGAAACTGGCTTGAGGCGGTTTCGGTTTCCATGCCTTAGTTAGATGACCCTCAAAGGGGCACAGTAGATTTCCCTGGCTACTGATACACCTTAACAAGAAACTTGTGTCTTTTATGCCCTCAAAAGTGTTTTGCTTGTACTTTCCTAGACATGAAGGTGGAAAATGGGCCTAAGGTCTGTCAAAGGTCTTGAAAAATAAGCTTGTATTAAAATTGCTGTTCATTTTCATTAAATAATACTAGATCAATAAAACCCTTTCTTTACGATATTAGTGGTTGGTAAAAGACTTGCTTTCTATTGTTTCGGTATATGTATATGTCTGTAAAATTAATGAGCTATCCTTTAACTTGTAGATTAGAAAGTGACTAAAAACTCATAGGGGTACTAAAGAAGCAACAATGGGAAGAGGCGGCCGATCCTCCTCAGTGCGCCTCTTTCTGTCGAACAGTACAGTGTACAGTCTACTGATATCACCATATAGGGCAGGCTGTGATCGCCTTTCTCCTTTCCCAGGGCTAAATGGTGTCAAGCAGGTTCAGTGTACACTGGTTACCAACCTGAGTCCAGTGTGACAGAACACACTCATACCCAATAAATTACATGAAACAGATGTATTACTTACAGACAGGAAGCAAGGGACAAAAGAGGCCCTGGCTGCATTGTGAGCTAGTCCACCAGGGCTCTAGAATGCTGCCCAGGGCAGGGGTGATAGAGTCTTGACTGTACCTGCCCCACTTGCACCACAGCTGACAGACCCCAAAAGGCACCCTGCCTTGGGTTATATACCATAGAGGCCACATGAATCACTGGGCAAAGCTTTAAAGGACATCCTGCTTCTACGGGAGAGTGGAACACAACCTGGCTGACTTGAACAGTTCCTCCCTACCTCAAATGTTACATTCCCTAAAGAGGGACAAGAACAAGGGCAAACTGTTTCAGGCAGTTCTTCCATATCAGGATATTGTATTCCCAATGCATTCTACTGTTATTCTTAAGAACTACAAGCAAGGAAGAGGGAAGAACTGGGTCAGTCCAAGGCCACCTGGAGAACTGTCTTGCACATGGGTTATGGTAAAGTTGGCTATTCTAAAACCAGGCATCCACCCAAAAGAAGTCTTGGAAGATGTCTTTCTCTATTAAATTCAAATGATGGTAATTATAGTTTGGAAGTGGAATTGGCTTTTAGAGTTACTTCTGTAATGAAATTAACAAGCAATTCAAGCCTATTTCTGAAAATGAATTCAGTGGTTAATTGTTGAAAATAAATGTCTAGCCGGGCGCGGTGGCTCAAGCCTGTAATCCCAGCACTTTGGGAGGCCGAGGCGGGTGGATCACGAGGTCGAGAGATCGAGACCATCCTGGTCAACATGGTGAAACCCCGTCTCTACTAAAAGTGCAAAAAATTAGCTGGGCATGGTGGCGCGTGCCTGTAATCCCAGCTACTCAGGAGGCTGAGGCAGGAGAATTGCCTGAGCCCAGGAGGCGGAGGTTGCGGTGAGCCGAGATCGCGCCATTGCACTCCAGCCTGGGTAACAAGGGCGAAACTCCGTCTCAAAAAAAAAAAAAAAAAAAAAAAAAAAAAAAGAAAATAAATGTCTAACTCCTATAAAAGGAAATTTACATTCATTTCTAACTCATTAAAATATCTACGGCTAGGCACCGTGACTCAAGCTTGTAATCCCAGCACTTTGGGAGGCCGAGGCAGGCGGATTACCTGAGGTCGGGAGTTCGAGACCAATACCCAGCCAACATGGTAAAACCCCATTTCTACTAAAAAATACAAAAATAAGCTGGGCGTGGTGGCATGAGCCTGTAATTCCAGCTACTCGGAAGGCTGAGGCAGAAGAATCACTTGAGCCTGGGAAGCAGAGGTTGCAGGGAGCTGAGATTTCTTAGAAGATATTATTACTTATTGTTCTGAAGTGAAAGTCTGTCATAAGAAATGTTGCAACAACTCAAACACTGATGCTTTCAGAATGGGCAGTAATTCTCAGCATAAGTTCTGATCACAGGGGCAAAATTTGTGACTTCCATAGCTACAACATTCTGTGCCATCCAGGGCACTCTAGTTTGGGGATACAACTGCCAAATCTCCACCCAGAGAGTTTAG